CTCCACGGGAGGCATACTCAAACATAGCAAAACTTAGTACGGGGACGACTGTGTTTGATTATTCTCGAAGCCTCGGAAGCCCACCCGAGCGCGGGGCGTCAACGAGGCGCCTCTGGGAGCCAGCTCTAAGTCGAGCCTACCCCTCCACGGGAGGCATACTCAAACATAGGCAAAACTTAGTACGGGGGCGACTGTGTTTGATTATTCTCGAAGCCTCGGAAGCCCACCCGAGCGCGGGGCGTCAACGAGGCGCCTCTGGGAGCCAGCTCTAAGTCGAGCCTACCCCTCCACGGGAGGCATACTTAAACATAGTCAAAACTTAGTACGGGGGCGACTGTGTTTGATTATTCTCGAAGCCTCGGAAGCCCACCCGAGCGCGGGGCGTCAACGAGGCGCCTCTGGGAGCCAGCTCTAAGTCGAGCCTACCCCTCCACGGGAGGCATACTCAAACATAGGCAAAACTTAGTACGGGGACGATTGTGTTTGATTATTCTCGAAGCCTCGGAAGCCCCACCGAGCGCGGGGCGTCAACGAGGCGCCTCTGGGAGCCAGCTCTAAGTCGAGCCTACCCCTCCACGGGAGGCATACTCAAACATAGTCAAAACTTAGTACGGGGCGACTGTGTTTGATTATTCTCGAAGCCTCGGAAGCCCACCCGAGCGCGGGGCGTCAACGAGGCGCCTCTGGGAGCCAGCTCTAAGTCGAGCCTACCCCTCCACGGGAGGCATACTCAAACATAGTCAAAACTTAGTACGGGGGCGACTGTGTTTGATTATTCTCGAAGCCTCGGAAGCCCACCCGAGCGCGGGGCGTCAACGAGGCGCCTCTGGGAGCCAGCTCTAAGTCGAGCCTACCCCTCCACGGGAGGCATACTTAAACATAGTCAAAACTTAGTACGGGGGCGACTGTGTTTGATTATTCTCGAAGCCTCGGAAGCCCACCCGAGCGCGGGGCGTCAACGAGGCGCCTCTGGGAGCCAGCTCTAAGTCGAGCCTACCCCTCCACGGGAGGCATACTCAAAAATAGGCAAAACTTAGTACGGGGGCGACTGTGTTTGATTATTCTCGAAGCCTCGGAAGCCCACCCGAGCGCGGGGCGTCAACGAGGCGCCTCTGGGAGCCAGCTCTAAGTCGAGCCTACCCCTCCACGGGAGGCATACTTAAACATAAAAACTTAGTACGGGGGCGACTGTGTTTGATTATTCTCGAAGCCTCGGAAGCCCACCCGAGCGCGGGGCGTCAACGAGGCGCCTCTGGGAGCCAGCTCTAAGTCGAGCCTACCCCTCCACGGGAGGCATACTCAAAAATAGGCAAAACTTAGTAAGGGGGCGACTGTGTTTGATTATTCTCGAAGCCTACGTCAACGAGGCGCCTCTGGGAGCCAGCTCTAAGTCGAGCCTACCCCTCCACGGGAGGCATACTTAAAATAGTCAAAACTTAGTACGGGGGCGACTGTGTTTGATTATTCTCGAAGCCTCGGAAGCCCACCCGAGCGCGGGGCGTCGACGAGGCGCCTCTGGGAGCCAGCTCTAAGTCGAGCCTACCCCTCCACGGGAGGCATACTCAAAAATAGGCAAAACTTAGCACGGTGGCGACTGTGTTTGATTATTCTCGAAGCCTCGGAAGCCCACCCGAGCGCGGGGCGTCGACGAGGCGCCTCTGGGAGCCAGCTCTAAGTCGAGCCTACCCCTCCACGGGAGGCATACTCAAAAATAGGCAAAACTTAGCACGGTGGCGACTGTGTTTGATTATTTTCGAAGCCTTGGAAGCCCACCCGAGCGCGGGGCGTCGACGAGGCGCCTCTGGGAGCCAGCTCTAAGTCGAGCCTACCCCTCCACGGGAGGCATACTCAAAAATAGGCAAAACTTAGTACGGGGGCGACTGTGTTTGATTATTCTCGAAGCCTCGGAAGCCCACCCGAGCGCGGGGCGTCAACGAGGCGCCTCTGGGAGCCAGCTCTAAGTCGAGCCTACCCCTCCACGGGAGGCATACTCAAAAATAGGCAAAACTTAGTAAGGGGGCGACTGTGTTTGATTATTCTCGAAGCCTTGGAAGCCCACCCGAGCGCGGGGCGTCGACGAGGCGCCTCTGGGAGCCAGCTCTAAGTCTTGGGAAACGAAGAATGACATAGACATAAAAACTCGGAGGTCCGCGCGGAATTTCTCGGATCGGCGCTCGGGCCCCCTGGCGGCGCCTCCGGTGCCGCCCCTGGCGCGCTCCGCGCGCCAGGGAGGGGGGTCGAGCGCCGTTCCGAGAAAGCCGGGCGGACCTCCGAGTTGTTACGTTTATGTCACCTTTTGTTCCCCTAAAGTCGGGCCTACCCCTCCACAGGAGGAATACCCAACAATGGTCAAAAAATAGTAGGGGGACGATGTTGTATGATTTTTGTCTGAGCATCTGTGGATCATTTTTTGGGCATGCTTTTTGCTTCGTCCAGAATCCGCCCATAGCATCTGAGCATCAGAGCACCTGTTGATTATTGTTCTGACTATTTCAGAGCATCTTGGGGGACGACTTTTGTGATTATTTTTGAGCATCTGTTGATTATTTTCTGGGCATGTTTTATTCTTCGTCCAGGATCCGCCTGTAGGGGGACCTGCCCGACCCAAACCCGGGCGCGGGGGGGCCACCCGGCGGAGCCCGCCAGGCGCGGGGCGCCCACGAGGCGCCCACGGGCGCCCACAGCAGCCGGGCACCGGCCGAAAGCCCGCGAGACGCATCCAGTTGTGCACAAAGGACCCAATAGACCCCAGGAGTTAATATTATAAATGCTGATTTGAAGAGCGTTCAGTTTTGCGCGTGCTAGTTTGCAACATGTCGCAGCGAATGCAAGTTAATCTCTCGCGTGCAAGTATTAACACACCTGTTTAAAGTCCTGTTATAAGGAAATCACAAAAGAAAAGCCAGAACCCCTCAGTGCAAGCGCCGTTCGGGCAATTAGCAAGTACAGCTCAGAGCCCCGGATCATCGGGGGTAACGCATCCAGGTTTTCACAGAGGAGAAAAGTATGGGCGGGGCGCTGACGAAGGAACCCTTTTCGTGTGGGAGGGGCTCAGTGTTCCTCAGTTGTTTTGCAGCTCGCCTCAGGTTGTCCTCAGGTCTTCGATCGGAATTCGAAGCTTAGCTTATGGAGAAAGGGGCCTCGCTCCTTATCTAGGGTTACTTAGGTCAACGCTCCGACTGTAATCACAAAAGAAAAGTCAGAACCCCTCAGCGCAAGCGCCGTTCGGGCAATTAGCAAGTACAGCTCAGAGCCCCGGATCATCGGGGGTAACGCATCCAGTTTTTCACAGAGGAGAAAAGTATGGGCGGGGCGCTGACGAAGGAACCCTTTTCGTTTGGGAGGGGCTCAGTGTTCCTCAGTTGTTTTGCAGCTCGCCTTAGGTTGTCCTCAGGTCTTCGATCGGAATTCGAAGCTTAGCTTGTGGAGAAAAGGGGCCTCGCTCCTTATCTAGGGTTCCTTAGGTCAACGCCCCGACTGTAATCACAAAAGAAAACAAACACATCCAGTTTTCCACAAAGGAAAAAGTACGGTAGGTTCGTGTCGTGTCGACTGGCGGCGACCCCGCCAGGGGCGTTCAACGTTGAACGCCGCGGGCGATCCGGAGTCGCTCGATGTGGAACGATTTGGACGTTTCGGAAACGGCCGATCGTTCAAGGTTGAACGATCCCCGCGGTGTCAGAAACCAACGCCGAAGTCGACACGACGCGAAGCTGCCGTAATCACAAAAGAAAAGTAATAACCCCTCAGTGCAAGCGCCGTTCGGGTAACAAGTACAGCTCCTTGTTGCAGCCATCGTCATCGTCGTTTTACAGCCGTTATGTGGTCTTCCTTCGTGCTGCTTCTTCCTCGTTCTCGCCCTTCCCTGCGAAGCCTTCACCGTCCTCAGCTTTTCGTTGGCGGAGGCTCCTCCCAGGAGAGCTCCCTGGGGCCTCACGACAGCTTGTTGTGGGTTTCTTAGGGGCCCCAGGGCAGCCTCCTGGGTGCCTTCTGAAGGCCTTTGGGGGTTTCCATTTTCAAAAACAATGCGCGGATGGGGGCGCGCCGATCTCAAGACGTTATCGGGGGAGAGAGGAAAGTAGTATTCAGATTGAGCATTTGTGAACAAGGGATGAGGAGGAGGAGGAGGAGGAGGAGGAGAGCGAGGGGCGAAGGGAGGCGGACGAGGACCCTGCTGCGAACCACGGTCTTCCTCAACAACTGGGTCACGATTTGGAGTGGTCTGGCGGGCGCCTTCGGGCGCCTTGGCCGCCGCCCCGTTCCCTCTCCCCTCCCCCCCTTCTCCTCATTTTCTCCCCTCCTCCCTCTCCCTCTCCCCTCCCCTCCCCCCCTCCCTCTCCCCTCCCCCCCTCCCTCCCCGTTCCCTTCTCCCTCTCCCCTCCCCCCCTGGCCTTGGAGCCGTCTCGGGGTTTGACGGGGCCCCACACTTTCGCCTCCCAGGGCCGTTCTCGGGCTCCAGGACCGTAACGGATTTGGGGCGGAAGTTTGTACCGGATGGACCCCAGGGGGTGGGTCGGGGGCCGATTTCGCGGGGATGTGGCTTCGTCTTTTCTCCCGGAGAACTTTCTTGGGCCCCAGCCAGTCCAGACCGCTGGCCGCTTCTAACCCTCGCTCCTCTTTCCACAGTCACGCAGGGTGCACTCCGTAGCGTGCTGGAAGCATCCCTAGTTTTGGCAGCGGACTGTCAGACGCTGCCCCCCTGGCGCTCCATCCATCCATCATCCATCGATACCCCATCCCCTCGGTGATGCGTGTTCTGAGTCCTTCGCTGGCAATCGGAAGGACTACCTCCTCGATAGATTATCCCGAGGCCTGTGGCCCGAAGTTCGTGGTAATGCCGAGCTGGCCAGCAGGACGCCACGGGGTAGTCAGTTCATCCGATCGGTAAGTAAACGACTCTGTCGCCATACCCGACTCCCGCCCCCCTTCCCGCCTCTCCACCTACCGCTGCCTTTCCCGCCCTCAAGTTTAGCCTGCTGCCCAGAGCCAGACCTGGTCAGGCGATGATGTGGACCTGCGGCTCGGGGGACGACGACGAGGACGGGTGCTTGCCGCAGGCGGTGCTCGAGCCCCGCCAAGGCCGCGCCTGCGAAGCGGCCCTCTTCCTCATGGCCCTCGTCGGCTCTTGCTCGCCATCGGATGCGTAACGTTTCTTGTCCGCGTTTCGTCCTCGTTTTCTGATGCCGTCCCTCTCGTCCGTTTTCATTTCCTCCTGCCCCATCGTAAACAAATGCGTTTCGCCTCCCTCGGCCTCGTTTCCTCATCTTTGCTTCCCCCATGTGTTTATCAGATTCCTCCTCTGCTTTCCCCCTGCCATCATGTGAGCAGGCTGCTTGCATGGTGAATGATGGCGCAGCTCAGCTAATCTCCTTATCGGTTGTCTCCCTCTTTTCTCGATCCTGCCTCTCTCCCTCTTCCCTTACGTATCCTATCCTCGGCTCCGCCAGTCTCCTTCGAAGCTAACCAACTCTCGATGCACCCTTCCCTTCCTGCGGTCTTCCTGTCCTCCCCTTTCCTTCCTGCTTTCCTTTTGCTCCTCTATCCTCCCCCTCCGACCTTCCTCATCACTACCTCCATGCACTTATTCCCCCTGTCTACATATGTTTTCCGTTATGTATTATGCAGATTCCTCGCTCTTTCGTTTTCCTCCCTCATCATCCTTTCTCTCCAGTCGTGACTTGTCATTTCGCGTCTATCCTCTCCAGTCCCCCTTGTTCCACAATCCGCCTTCTTCCTTCCGCCCTCCACTCTCTGCCAATCTTCTGAGGCAGGGGGGCCCGAGCTCTATCGGCCAACTTTGGAATGGCACTGTCGTCAAGAGCCTTTAAGAACGGTGGCGCCCCCAGTTCGCCTGGAAGCCTCCTGGGCCCTGTTGGAAGGATCTTGGAGGCTTCTCGGGCCGTCTTGGGCAGGCTGAAGCTTGCAAGAGCGAGACCGCTTTGGCTTTGTGCCCCTCGGCGTCCGCTTTGGGGTCCCACTGGTGCCCACTCGGCGGCGCGTCTTGGGCGTCTCTTGGGGCGTCTTGAGGCCATCTTGGGCGTCTTCGTGCGCTGTTGAGCCTTCTCGAGCCCCTCTGTTGGCCTGCCTAGGGGCCCGTCGACTATTTTTTTAATACGGAACGCCCCAGGAGATCTGCGACTTGGGGTTTCGGGCCCTCTCAAAGAGTTCGAGAATTCAAAGGCACCTGAGGACGCTTAACTGAGCGCCTGAGGGCACCCAACTTGGTGCCTAGCGGCAATGCGGCGGACGGATTTTGGGCAGGTCTGTGAACAGTATGTCACATCTCTGGCAGGCGCAAATAGGCTCCTACGGCTGTGCTAGATACATAGAAACACTCGTCGGTCGTTGAACGTAGGTGTTTTTGGACTACCTGGTCCCGCTCTACCTCTAGCTCCTTCATGCTTCAAGAATCGGCATGTTGTTCCTGTGTTTTGCTATTCTCTGAGAGGGCCTGGACCCAACCTACTTTTATCAGCCTTCCTACTTCATGTTTTTTCGACCTACTTCATCCGACCGACGTGTATCTACATTCACATGCAGATGTTCTTCCGGGTTCTTCCCTGTTTGAAGCGTGATTGTGATCGAATCGGCAGCAGCGCTTCGCGTCTGAATCTGGCCTTGCCGGGTGCCACACTCTGGGGAGGGTGGCGTGGGAAGGGAGGGTGGACAGGGCTTGGAGGACTAGGAGCGAGGAGTGTGAAAGACACCATGATTGAGAGGTGGAGAACCGTGGTGGGGAAAGGGAGTGAGGGCAGGAGCGCGAGGGATGAGGGATGCAGGCGGGAGCACGCATGTCGTAAGCGAGGCATCCTGGACAGCGTGATCGACCAGCAGATCTTGATCGCGCAGCAGGCGGCGGGAGGGAGCGGAGGGGAGATGTGGGGCAGCAGGGAGGGGACTACGTAGGAAGCGGGGCCCTTCCTTCCGCCCCCCCTCGCTTCTCCTCCTCCTCTCGCGGTCCATCCTGGCTCCCTCCCATGCCCTTTCCCTCACTCCCCCCCCCCCCTTTCTCCGCCTCCCCCTCGCTCGCGCCCATCCCCTTCCACCACCCTTCCCCTCCTCTCCTCCTCCCTTCCCCCCCCCCCTCTCCCACCCGATCTCCCCTGCAAGCCGGCGGGGCCCGCGAGCGCGGAGGCCGGGTGCCCCCCGCGGCCCCGCCCCCCCCTCGCTGGGAGGGCCCGGCGGCTCGGCTGCGCGTGCCGTCCCGGCTCGGCTGCGCGTGCCGTCCCGCGGGGCCCGCTGCCAGCTGAGAGACCCGCTGCAAGCCAGCGCGAAGTCCGAGAGCTCGAGCGGCTCTTCGACTCGACCGCGCTGCCTCGGCTCGCGGGGGCCCCAGGAGGGGGCTCGTCTCGGGGGCCTCCTGGAGGGGCCTCTCCTTGGGGGCCTCTCGGGCCGCTCGGCCCGAACGAGAGGGGGGGGATAGGGAAAGGTGTGTGGGGGTACGAAACTTGCTGCATGCAGCTGGTTCCGGCCCCGCCGCTGGGCCCACTCCTCGACACATGGGCGCCTCCCGGCGCCGGGAGGCGCCGGGAAAATCAGCCAGCGAGCGGATTCTCACCCCCCCCCCTTTGCTATCCCCCCCTTTCGCCCGGCCCGAGCCGCAGCAGGCAGGGCACCTCTCGGCCCGTCTGACGCTGGGCCCACACCCTGCGCCCCATCGCTGGCCTTGGCTGCAGCGCACCACCGCCGTGCGGGCCCTTGGCAGTTCCCCCCGGTCCCCGCGCGCCCCGTCCGCGTCACCCCGCGGCGCGCGCGCGCGTGCGCGCCCCCCCTCCCGCGCACTGCGTCCCGTAGAGCGCACTCCCGCAGAGGGCCCGCGCGGTGGTATTTTTTTCAACAAGTGGTGCGAGCAGGATGCCTTCGGCGCTATGACAGCGCACTCGGGGCTCCACGGGGCCACATGACCAGGGCCCCGTGCGCAGGGAGCCGCCCGAACTTCCGCCCCATGCGACTTGCGCCTCGCGCGCTCCAGCCGCAGTCTCCACTCTCCCGCCGCTCCCTTCATCGCGCTGTGCTTTGCAGGCCGCTCCCAAACGCACGCCCTCGTCACCGTCTCTTCTCCTCCTCCCCCCCCATCCTCCTCCTCCTCCTCCTCCTCCTCCTCCTCCTCCGCCTCCTCCTCCTCCGCCTCCTCCTCCTCCTCCTCCTCCTCCTCCTCCTCCTCCTCAAACCTCCTCCTTCTCTTCTCCTTTATACCCCCTCCCCTTGTACGTTCTCGTCGTGTCCTCCGTGCCCTGCCCCTCCCAAGGTCGGCTGCGTCGAGGTGGACGACTACGACGACGGCCCTGGCCCCAGCGAGGCCTGGCGGGCCTGCTCGCCGCCCCCCCTGGGGCTCCGCCTCGGCCTCCGCGTCCTCCGCCCTCCTTCCCCGCGCCCCCGTTCCCCAACGTTCGGTTCCCCCTACTACGCTCGTCAAAATCAACCTCAACGGTTGCTGGCACGTCATTTCGATTTCGGCGCGCCCCTCAATGTCGACACGCCGCCCCTTCAATGTCGGGGCGGGGGCAAAGATAGTCTGACCGAAGTTGACTCGAATGTTTGACGTCGACCGACATTGGAGGGGCGGCGCATGCAGGTACCCCGCACTCATCGATACTCGGCCCCAGATCTTCCGACAAGCAGTTCAACCACGTCAGACATTTTTGAGGTTAATTTTGACGAGGGTTGTAGTTCACTCTCACCTCCTCCCTCCTGCCCTCCCCCCTCCCTCATTCTCCCTTCCCTCTCCCCCCTTTCTTCTCTGACGCACTGCGACATTACAGCGAACTCCCCCGCTCTCCTCGCTATTACCCCTCCCCTCCCCCTCTTCACCCCTGCACAAGTACGTACTCAACATGAGCTCTATTCTCCTCTCTCCCCAGGGCCCGTTCTCTCCCGGTTCCCGCATAGTGAGACGCTAGCGTGTTGTATGTCAGTATACCCGCGAAGATGGAGTTCAAAATGACTTGTGTTCGATCAGAACGCATCCGGTGTATCAAAGCGGTGTTCCCGCTGCGGCGGTGGCCTCGTTTTGGGATCGACGCTTCGCTTCCTCAGTCGGAAGGCTCTCGCCCCAGTGCGCGCCACAATTCTGGATCCGAGTCCTTCGTCGTCGTTCTCGCCCCGCTCCGCTGGTCCTTCTGCTCCTCCCGCTCCTCCTACTCCTGGTCCTGCTCCTCCTCATCGTCTCGCTTGTCAGACTCCTCCTCCTCCTCCTCCTCCTCCTCCTCCTCCTCCTCCTCCCCTCTTCTGACTGCGCATAACACGATGGAGGTCATTTTGAAGGTTCCAGGTCCGCTATAACATCCGACGGCGGATCGGGAATAGCCAGCGCAATGGACGGGATGGGCGGGAGGGCAGGATGTCAAATATGTCGCGAGCGCGCCCGGCATGCCTCCCCCCCACCTCGCCCTTCCACCCCTCGCCTTTCCCTCGCCCTTCCCCCCCCCCCCCAGCTTCGGGCACCTAGTTTGCCTCCCGCCCTCGACTATCTCACAATATCGCTCCTCTCTCCCCTGACCCTGTCCGGAAAATCGCTGGCCCCCCCTCCGCGACTTGTGTTTCAATCTCAGGATTGTGCCGCGTTCTTTTTTTTCCTATGTGTTTTGCATTACAGTCGGGGCCCTGAAGAAGGAACCCTTTTCGTTGGGGAGGGGCTCGGTGTTCCCTGATTGTTCTACAGTTTGCCTAAGGTTTTCCTTAAGTTTTCGATGGGAAATCGAAGTTTAACTTATGGAAAAAAGAGGCCTCGTTCCTTATTTAGGGTTCCTTAGGTCAACGCCTCGACTGTATGGTTGTTGCCGCTATTCCAAGCTGGTACTCCAGCTGCAGCGGGGGCCTCATTTCCGGATCGGCGCGGCGCGCTCGTCGGTCAGAATGGCGCTCTGGCTTCAGCGTTGGCTAATCTTCTGGACCCGAGTCCGTTTTGATCGTTGTCGGCCCCCTCATTTTCCCTCCTCCGCCCCCCTTTGGGTTTTCGGTCCTTCCCAATGGCTTCAAACTTCTAGAAATGCCCCCTCCCGGAAATCCGGAAGGGATTACACATTTGGTGTCGAATCGTTGATTTTGGCGGCCGCGTTAGCCCCACCTTTCTGGGGCGTCGCCACGCCGTGCCTTGTCAGGCTACGCGTCCTCATTTCCGCGCTTCCGCTTTACGTGTATAAAAAATGCTGCTCTCGCTGAAGCGCTGGCTTCATTTTCGGGCTACCGCTCGTTCCGAGTCGTGCTTTTGCTGCAGCGCTGGCCTCGTTTCCGCGCTTCCGCGCGTTCCGAATCGCGCGCCCGCTGCAGCGCTGCCTCCCCCGCCCCCCCTTGCCGAGGCCTGGTGGGCTGGCCCTCTGCCCCTGTCCCCGGCGGCGCCGCAGCCCATCAGCTCCGTCCAGCTCGCGGTGGCAGGGATGGGAGGGAGGGAGGCAGGGTTGGAGGGGGGAGGGGGGAGGAGGAGGAGGAGGAGGAGGAGGAGGAGGAGGAGCAGCAGGAGGAGGAGGAGGATGAGGAGGAGGAGGAGGAGGACGAGGAGGGGGAGGTTGAGGAGGAGGAGGAGGAGGAGGAAGAGTTTGTCGCAAGGGCCGAACACTTGCTCAGGCTGTGGCGGATTCTAGGAAATGGCCTCAGTGTGAATGTTGAGACTGGGCCAAACGCCTCCTCATGTGCACGCCCACGGCTGTAAAGGCAGTAACATTGAGGTGTCTCATGGTTGTTGACGGCTCGTTGGTGCGCCAGCAGTGCACCCGTCTTGCGTGAAGGTTTTGTCTTTTCCTGGCACCCGCTCTTAGTGTACACCCTTTTAAAAGGTAATAGCGCGTGGCACGCTCCTCATCCTATGGTGTTGCGCCGCGGCGCGGCTTCACCATGCTCCGCTTCAGGACCTGGTGTTGCCTTTGCTTTGCTCTTCACCCAGTGTTCTGTCTCGTTGCTTTCTCTCCATTTCGGCATCGAGCCCCCCGCCGTAGACCGAGCCGAAGCGAGCAGGAGGAGGGCGAAGAACTTTGGGGAAACGTGGGCAATCCCACAGCTGCTCACCAGGTTCGGGATTCTTCCCGCCAGTCAGGTGGGCGCCCAAAGCGGAGGTCAGGACTGAGCCGTGTTTTGTCGTTTTCAGAGTCTGGTTCCGACAGATTATTCATCTGCGCATACCATAGCATAGGAGGAGGGCGAGGACGACACGGATGAGGAGGACAGGAGGACGTGGCACGAGGCAGGAGAGGCGATGGAGGAGAGGGAGGTCAGAGGATGAACGGAGGAGAGAGAGAGAGAGAGAGATAGAGAAAGGGAGAAACAATAGAGAGAGATAAACAGAGAGAGAGAGAGCAATAGAGAGAGAGAGAGCAAGAGAGAGAGAGAGAGAAAGTGAAGGAGAAAGAGTAAACAAAAAGGAGGGAGGAGTGCGGAGGGCGGGAGCCGAGAGGAGGTGGGGGCATGGAGGGCGGGGGAGGCACAGGGCAGCAGGGACGAGGAGAGGAAGGGGAGCGGAGACGGGGGAGGGGGTGGCGGGCAGGCAGGGGGGGGCAGGACGAGACGCGAGGGTTACGCGAGGGCGCGAGGTGCGATGGAGGGGGACGAGCGCGTGAGGCCGCAGGGACGAGATGGGTCCTCTCCGCGCGCGGCGGGCCCGGCAGGCGGTCGCAGCGTGCAGGGCCATGCGGGCCAGCGCAGACGTCGGCGGCCCCGCCGGTGCGCTCCAGCGGGAGTGGTGCTCGCCCTCAGCGTCGCCTTCGGCCCTCGCAGGGACGAGCGGCAGGACGAGGAAGCAGGGAAGGGAGGGGGGGCGTTGTGGGAGGAATCGAGTGAGAAGCAGCGGCGGAGGCAGAGACTTCTGGAGCTCCGTGCGGACGTCTTGGATCGTCGCTGGGCACCCTCGCCGGCGTGCGGAGCGCGGCCGGGGCGGCGCCGGAAGCGCCTCCGGGGGGGGGCCCAGCGCCGATCCGAGAAATGTGCGCGGTGAGTTAGGTTCTGCACGTGTTCGCGCCTTGTCCCTCTTCGTCAGAGTGCCGCCCTTGAGCATCCGAAGCTTGGATGTGAAAGTCAGCAGCCACATTCGCCGGGGAGGCGGAATGTACCGCGGAAGATGCCACGCTTGATCCCAAAATGGCTACTCTGGGTTTCTTGATAAGCGTGGGGGGTACCCCCGAGGGGGGTCAACCTCGCCTCGTCGTCGCGCCGCGACGGGGGTCGGAGCGCCTTCGGTGCGCGGTGGCTGCCCGCGACGGGGGTCGATGTGGGGCTGTCGGCGGGGGTGACGCCCCCCCGACGCTTATTGAGAAACTCGGAATATGGAGTAGTCGCCATGGCGTGTTGGGCCCCGCCCCCCGCGTTCGCATTCCCTTCCCCTCTGCCCAGATTGCCTTTTCCTTCCATCTCCCCTTCCTTCGCCGCCCCCCCTCCCATCCCCCCCATCGGAGCGGTGAGCCAACTCCCAGACGCATGAGCAATGAGACAGAGGGGCACGATGAGGAGGATCGGGGGTGGACAGACCTTCTACCCTGACACGTCGATTAAGGAATTGGCCGTTTTCGGTTCGCGAGAGGCGTCGCGGCCGTCATTTTTGCGGGTCCAGGTCCGTCGGTTTCGGTCCCAGGCCGATTTCACTAAGGGGAGGTCTACTAAAGGGAGGTTTGTCCAGCGCCGAGAGGAGGTCAGAGCGGCGAGCCAATTCCCAGACGCATGGACAATGAATGATGATACAGAGAGGCATGATGTTGAGGAGGCGGAGTGGCGAGCCAACTCCCAAGCATCTGAGCAACGAATTGGGCGGAGGGGAAGGATGGTGACGATGACGGTGTGGAGGAGGCGGAGGATACTTTTTGCGATAGTTGGCGTTGCGTACGCATCGGGCGAGATGCACATACAAGTGCTCAGATGAGATTCAAGCCTGGGAGCTGCGGCACGATCGGCTAAACCCCATCGTGGTATCCGGCGATGGCGATGGCCCGCACGACTTCGCGAGTTGCGCTGCAACACTTTTCGAGCGCACTCGGGGCCCAGAGGCCACACGGGCTGGACACGAAGGGGACCCATGCTACGCAGTGCGGCTCTTCCTCAGGTAGCGCTGGGCGCCCACCAACCAAACTTGCATATGTTCCCCTAGCGATGCCCGCCAGGAGTAGATGTTCTGGCGCAGTTTACCGATTTCAGTCACGATCTCAATTGATGGCTGGGCCGAGCCGATGTGAACGGTACCGTGCGCCTGCTGTATCGATCAAGCAGAGTTGTTACGGTGAAACACCCTACCTGCTAACCACTCAGACTTGAGTTCACCGTAGATCCGCGAGCGGACGTCCAACGCTTGTCGTTTCAGAACTTGATATTTCCAATGTTCGCCGCTCGAGTGTTGCCCAATGTCCTTCGCAAACTTCTGCTTGCGTCCTGTGGACAAGCATGACAAAACATCGCCTGCGTCGTCGATGTTGCGAGGGATGGGATGCGAGACATGCAACTTGGGTTTGACAAAGGATGCCCCGTATTGTTTTTTGATGAGCCTGTGGTGATCAGTCAGGGTGGCCTCGAAGTCCCTGGTGTTATTGACGGCGCACTTGACATCAGGCTCAAACAACGCGTCTCCCCCAGCAGCTCCCCGCTCAGAACTATCGTGAGCTCGGCGAACTTGACCAAATCGTGTACGGCGAAGATCGCTTCGTTTGCCCATGCTCTCATTTTCCATCCATCACGCTGAACGTGGGCAGGAACGAATGTCGCGGGCAGTGAGCCATTCGGCCACTGGGTCGAAGGTTGAAATCTGTGAATCTATCCAGTAGGGTTCGGCTTCAAGCTTCAAGCCTCGCGCAATAAGCGTTGGCCTCTACTTGGCCCCCCTGATGCCACCATATTACGCATCCAATCCGAGTAGGTGTGCTTCATAGGATTTAGGTATTGATTGAGGAGGGGGTCGTACATCGTACAACATCGATTGAGGTTCGTAGTTTGCGCAGCTAGTTTTTCCCTCTGCGAATCAGCCTGGGGCCAACAGTGGTTTTGCCCTCTAGAGTCCATCCACCATGCGCGCGAATGTAACCTGGCGTGTGCAACACGAAGTCGAATGGACGGGCGTCTCGGAGATATTTACACATAACCTTCTAGCTTGTACCCGGGCGTCCGAACCACGTTCCTACAACAGATGCAGGCCTTGAATCCCGGAGCACCCTTCACTGATCAGCAATGTTCGTCTGCCTCTTCATCTAGCACTACGCGGGAACATCTCCCAGTGTATTTGGGTACGTCCGCCGTGTTTGTTGGGGAGTCAGATGCCAGTGGTAAGCTCACATTACGCTAGGTTGGAAAACACATTTCTGAGCAATTGTTTCGCGCGGCCGCTAATACCAGCCTCCACGCCCTCCTGGAGTTCAAAAGGGAAGAAACGCAAAGCCCACCAGCCCCCATCGCGCGACCTCAGCCAGCTCGGGAGTCACCTGACAGTCCAAACCGCCGCCCTAGAGGCAAGGCGCCCCTGCGTGGATACTTCTATATATGTGTGTATATATATATATATATATCCATATGCATTTACATATATGTATATATATATAGATATACAGATGTATGTATGTATATATGTACGTACGCACGTATGTCTGTCTGTCTTCATGTCTGTCTGTCTGTCTGTCTGTCTGTCTGTCTGTCTGTCTGTCTGTCTGTCTGTCTGTCTGTCTGTCTGTGTGTGTGTATGTATGTATGTCGGCGGTGCCCGGTGCGGAGCGAACCCCCCCCCCGGTAATCTCTCCCGGGGGGGTTCGAGCTGGCGCCATTCCCGGTGCGAGCCTGCACGAACCCCCCCGGTAAACACGACCTCCTCTGGTAGGCTGCACGAAACCCCCGGTAAGGACGCAACCCCTCCGTAAGCGGCGCGCTCCCGGCACGCGCGAACCCCAGCCCCGACGCGCGAATCTTACCACGACGGGCCGGAACACGGCGGCGGCATTGCATCCCAGGGCCGTGCCGGAACACGGCGGCACTGCTCTTCTCTACGCGGCCGTGCCGTCGACCCCCCCCAGCGGCTCTTGGGAGTTGCGCCGCAGCCTCTCGTATTGTGGCCTATATACGAGAGGCTGCGGCGGAACAAAGGCGAGCAGACGCGAATAGAGAACACAAGGCGAGCACACGCCACACTTCGACAGGGAGCCACCCTTCCCAACGGCCCCCCTGCCACCCCCCCCAACCCACCCCCCACTCCCACCCCCCCACTCCCACAGGGGGGGGGAGCCCAGGTAGACGCAGCGCGGCCTGCACGAACCCCCCCGGTAAAGCGACAGGGGAGGACCCAATGCGGCCTGCACGAACCCCCCGGTAAAGCGGCAAGGGGGTGTTCTAAGCCGCTGGCGGCACCCGGTGCGGGCTGCACGAAACCCCCCGGTAGTGCACGAAACCCCCCGGTAGTGCTGGGGGGGGGGGTTCGTGCCACGGCGCACCGCCGACATGTATGTATGTATGTATGTATGTGTGTGTGTGTGTGTGTCTATGCATGTTTGTATGTAGGTATTTTTAGCTACGCATGCATGTATGCATGCATGGATGTATAGTTGTAGTACGTGCATATGTATGCCCATGCATGCATGCATAATGCAATGCTGCTATATATAATATATATATATATATATATATATATATATATATATATATATTATTATATATATTATATATATATGGTAGCCCCCCCCCCCACGGGGACCCCATCTTCACAAATGCAAGCCCGAGGGCTTTAAGCGGTGAAGTTCGTTCATATGTTGATGTAGGTGTTGACCCTGTGTTGTTGCAAGAACGTTTGCAATTGATAGCATCAAAATCAACACCAATAACACACCAACACACTCAAACACAATAAGAAAACCATACAATTGAAAGGTACCCGTCTCCATCAGGGACCTACCTCATTCTGTTGATGTTGATTGTGTTGATTGTGTTGAAGCTCCCGCCTGAGAGGTCCCCAAAAAACGTGAAGAGGAAAAGGCTACCGCCTGAGAGGTCCCCAAAAAAACGCGAAGAGGAAGAGGCTCCCGCCTGAGAGGTCCCAAAAAGACGTGAGGAGGAAGAGGCTCCCGCCTGGGAGGTCCCCAAAAAACGCGAAGAGGAAGAGGCTCCCGCCTGAGAGGTCCCAAAGAAACGTGAGGAGGAAGAGGCTCCCGCCTGAGAGGTCCCAAAAAAACAGAGTCAAATGGAGGCTCCCGCCTGAGAGGTCCCCAAAAAACTCTCTTGGGAGGAGGCTTCCGCCTGAGAGGTCCCCAAAAACACCAAACAGGAGGAGGCTCCCGCCTGAGAGGTCCCCAAAAAACCAAAAGAAGCCCAAACACCATGCCCCTCATCCCTGTAACTGTACCAAAAAATCATAAAAAAAAAGAAAAAAAGAAAAGAACAACAAAAAAAAAAAGTTCCAGAGGAGAACGGACGTCGCTGCCCCAGATGCATTGACGAGGGCCGCCATCTCCTCTGGAACTTTTTTTTTATTGTTTTTTTTTTGACTGTTACAGGGATGAGAGGCATGGTGTTTGGGTTTCTTTTGGTTTTTTGGGGACCTCTCAGGCGGGAGCCTCCTCCTGTTTGTTTTTTTGGGACCTCCCAGGCGGGAGCCTCCTCCCAAGAGAGTTGTTTTGGGACCTCTCAGGCGGGAGCATCTTCCTCGTCGCGTTTTTTTTTTTTTTCTTTTTTTTATCTCTTTTTTCCTGGGACCTCTCAGGCGGTAGCCTCTTCCTCCTCACGTTGTTTTG